ACACAGCCCAGGAGACTATGGGTCTGTCTCCCAGAGCCTCTCGGAGTTTAGTATCCTGTTCAGGTATAGGCTGTAGTTTATTGATAATGTGTTGGACAGGTTTAAGTTGGGGGCTGTAGGTGATGACAAGTGGTGTTCTATTGTTGGTTTTTCTTGGGTCTGTCTAGAAGTAGATGGTTTCTAGGTATTCGTCTGGCTCTTTCAATTTGCTTTTTTAGATCTCTGGGTGGGTAGTTGAGGTTTATAAATGCTTGGTAGAGATCCTGAAGTTTCTGATAGCTTCCCCAATTATAACCTCTAATATCATTAGCTCACAGACAGTAAAACTCCAATTGTCCGGCACTCCTGATAGTCCAGCAGTAGCTGGAACCCGGAAGTGCTCTAGCCAGGTGGACAATTGGAGCTCCTGTGAGCCCCACGCACGCTCATGGGCCGGGAAAGGGAATGGGAGGAGAGAGGAAGGGTGTTATACCCCTGTGATGGGTCTGCCGGACCGCACTGCGTCTGGCCGGGGGCAAACCCTCCACCGTTTTGCAGGGAGGCGGGGGAAGCCCCACGCAGTTGCCTGCTACAGGCCAGCTGGGGAAGCGGTGGGGCAGAGCAGCTGGGGTGCTGCCGGGTTAGTCCCGCAGTGCTGCCCATCACCTGAGTGGTGCTGCCAGGTTGGTCCCCCAGCACCGCCCCTCACCTGAGCGGCACTGTGGGACCAACCCGTTAGCACCCCAGCTGCTCTGCTCAGCCACTTCCCTGAGTCTGCCTCTCGTCAGTTTCCGGAAGACCCGTCACAGCCCTCCCCCGGAGTACCTCCTGATACTCCAGCATATCAATAATCTGGCACCCACTGGGCCCCAAAAGTGCCGGATTATCGGAAGTCTACTGTACCATAATAAGTGTGCAAATATTTCAGTGCCAGTCCACCAACAGTTTTTGAATCAGTTTGCCAGTCCGTGGTATAAAAATGATTGGGAACCAGTGCTCTAGCACAGTTATTTTAATAAGCGGGGCTCAACAAACCGCTACTTCTACTCACCCGTGGCGAGTAGATTTCAGCCAGTCGCTCCGTGCGCCCCATTAACTGGTGCTGCGCACATCTGCCGCAGTTTGTCGAGCCCTGTTAATAAGTATTTAGTTCTGGAAAAACACTTAAAGGGTCTGTTCAGCTTGTCTTTGCTGCAGCTTTGGGAAAGTTAGGACAGGGCTTGGGGTTGGCACTGGATCTCTTCTTGGAAGTAAGAACTAAAACAAAGCATGGAGGTGGGGGAGCTAAAATAGACATTGTCACTCACCGCAACAGTATCTAAGGGAGCTTTTTAAAACTTGGGGTGTTGGAGATGTATGGAACTTGAAAAATAATCTACTCTCTTGCTAACCAGAGGCATTGCAATTGAACAAGATTTATGGACACTAGGGGCATATCTACACAGAAGCTTTATGTTGAAATCATTCATGTTATTTCAAAATAACAGTGCATGTCTACACAGCAAGCCCATTATTTTGACAAAATGGGCTTCTTACTCCGACATATGTAACCCTTATTTCACGAGGAATAAGGGAAGTCAAAGGAAGAGTGTTCTTCATTTGACTTCTTGCAGCGTAGACTGGTACTTTGACGTCAGCTACGCAATTAACGTAGCCAGAGTTGCATATCTTAATTCGACTTTGTCCAGCAGTGTAGACGTACCCTAGCTGGCCAGAACTCCCAGTCATACTCCCCACTAATGATGTGGGTATGGGGGGGGGGAGAGAAGTGTTTTGCCAGTTGTTGTCTGACTGATAGGTTTGTCTCGTAGCTTTTTAGATACCCAATGAACTATTCAAGCTCAGCGCTAACAAAGTAAAAAATATAGGAAAGTAATTCTATAAACCCCAAATTTTCTAAGTAATCATTGGGTTTTCCTGGAATATTCCAAAACTTCTAAACTTTTTTATTAAAGAATAGCCCACACAACTTTTGCATTTGTTTTCTTTAAATATTTTTGTGTTATTTTCTTCCACATACAAATATCAAGCACACTTTATATGAATATAAATATAACTTTATTTTTATTGGGGTAGAGCCCACAAGTCTTGTTTCAATTAGAGTTCTTTCTCTTCAGAGTGTGTACTCATAAACCATATATCTTACAGAACCATTCAAGGAGGCATATCTTTTAATCTTTCTTCCCAGATAGGGGAACTGAAGCCAAGTAGTCCATTGACTTCTGAAGATCAAAGTATATCAATGGGTGACTCTCTCCTCAGCTCTAGACATAGTCTTATCTTCATTGGTAGTTTTGGGGAAAACTCCCTGTCGCTTACTTTCACTAGTCCAGCTCCACCGGAGTCTAGAAGTACCAGTTCATCCTTCTATACCTCAGTTTTATTCATATTTTGAAAGGGTGAAAACAAGATCCGTGGGGGCTTTTTTTCTTCAGTTAATCAACTCTGTAGTGTTGGTTTTTTTAATGATCTAATCAATGAACTGAATTAGTTGAATGAACTTCAATGAAGAAAACATTCTTTCTGAACTTGCAGAGGAGGCTACTGCTATTAGAAGCTGATTTAGCACTCCAACAAACTTTGGTTTCAGGGGCTTGGCCAGTAACTTCAACCAGTACTGTGGTTTGACTTTGCAGCAGACATGCATTATTCAATTTAATGTATATTAATAATATGCTAAATATAGGCCTTGATGTAGGTTATTTACTTAAACTTACTTAAAAATCTGTATTTAATATTTTAAATATTACTTTTTAAAATTTGTATTCATTTCATCTTTTGAAAATATTTTTCTTAAGGTGGTGACTGTTCTAATTTTGCCATTTGTTTTATCATCTATGCTTCTTTCAGACTGATCATGTGGGTGTTTTTTGTTTCAGTGATGTTTTGGCACTGCCAATTTTCAAGCAGGAAGATTCCAGCCTTCCACCAGACAGTGAGACCAAACATCCACCATTTCAATATGTTATGTGTGCTGCAACATCTCCAGCAGTCAAATTGCATGATGAAACACTTACTTACTTGAACCAAGGTTAGTATATGTCTTCTGCATATGTTGTTTACCGTGGCTGTAGCTTAATGAACATTGGGATACTGAAAAGTGTAAAGATGCATAATAAGGGTGGTATTTTCACCTTTAGAAGTTTCATATGAAAGGGAAAGACCAAGAGTGCTGGGGAAGTTTTCTGCTGACAGCATTGTCTTTCAATATCAGTCATATCAACAATGCCTATGGTATACCTCTTATATCTTTCCTGACTGTCATATATGCCAGTATGTTTAACCCTTGTGATACAGGTCCATTTGAGCAATATAACATGATATAATAGCAACACATAAATGTGTTTTAAATTAGAGAATAAATGCACACTACATCATATTTGCTTTGAGCTATATATGCCTTGATTGTTTAATTCAAATTGCTTGTAATTCAAGCAATAAAAACCTACAGTTGTATCATCTCTTTGGTTGAAGTTACATGATGAAAGGCCCTGGGGCTGTATTTTATCACTTTTTTGTAATGACTTTACTAAAAAGTTACAGCCTACAACAGTAAGTCAACTTTAACAATAGGCATAAATGACAGCTGCTGGGTGCTCAACTTTATAGAAAATCAGGTCAGATAGGCAGGCATCTAATTTCAGGCACCCAATTATGAAAATCTAGGCAGTTATGTTGCCTCTGCTCTGCTTCTGCATTTCTGCTTGTGGTAAGGTACATAAGCAAATCCTCATTAGGAAGTAACTCTCAGAACTGTATAGTATTCAACTATAAAGTAAGGCTTTAGCAACAGCTACACAGGAAGCAGATAGGACTGATCATATTGTGTTCTGATCCCCAAACACTGGCTGGCTCACAGGTTACCAGAGCAGTTGAAAATCAGCTAGAAACCTAGTAGAATAGCCACCGGATGATAGTATTGAGAAACCTGTATCATGTGACAGTGAACCTGTCTCCATGAAGGATTGCCAACTCCCCTCACCTTCTGCCCCCAAACCACCTGCAGTCAGTTGCACAGTGAGATAACAGTGCTCCATGAGTAGCTGTCTAAGAGCTACCACTTACGATGTTTTCCATTGACATAAGGAGCATAGATAGTGTGGACATACAACAGTGGTTTAATTACAGTGGTGACTATATATCAACATAACTTAAGTTGACTTGATTTGATAGTGTAGACATAGCCTCGCATATTGAAACATTCTTGGTTATTGCTTTCTGGGATTTTGAAAAGCTCATATGGAAGAGGTAAGATTAAGATCTGAGTAAATATTAGGCTAGTACCTTGGAGTGATAGGTAGGAATTCTTTGTTGGGTGCTTTGAAGCAGGATGTGGATTGAATGACTAGACTCCAGAATGTTGTTTGATCAACAGATCTTGTGTGAAAGGTAAGCATATTATATGGCGGGGGAGAGATCTTTGGGTTCTTTGACGCTGCTTGCCTAATAGATTTTGTGAAGGCAAAAGGAAGGTTGGATTATTATTTATTATGGCGAACCCAGAGAGCTCTTGTTATGTTGCCTCTGCTCTGGTGGTATGAAGAGTGGAGGCAGGAGAATAGGAAGAGGTAACTAGTGCTTCTCCCAATGCTATTGTAACTGTAGGAGCAGAGATGTGCTCAAACACTGTATATAAAAATTCCCCCAATAATAGTACAGTTGTGCCACTATAGTGCTTAATGTTAGAACAAAGGAAAAGATGTATTTGATTGTATTTTTAAACAAAAAATGACTAAAGTGAGATTGAAGGAAGTGGTAGCAAAGTTTATTTTTAAAAGGAACTGTTTTAGGCATAATATGGATTTACTTCCAAATTCCTGAATACTAAACTTCTCTCTCTATAAAAACTTTTCCTGTTGGACAACAGTGACATCATCACATCACTCTGCATCCTGCAGTCCCTTCCTCCCTCCCACTCCCCTTTCCCCAGTGCTTGGCTGCCATGCCACAACCTCCCTTTCCGCTCCCACCCAGCAAGGCCTCAGAATGCCCTCCCTTCCTCCCCTGGCAGCCAGTGGGAGACTGCGGGGCAGCCTCTCCCCCCTCCCCAGTGGCCAAGGGGAGAACATGGGACCTGGCAGCTGGGGAGAGAGCGGGGCCAGCCGCAGCCTCAGCCCAACCCCCTGGCAGCCAGAGTGCAAGAGCTGGCTGGCTATGGCCTTGGCCCAACCCCCTGGCGGCCAGAGAGAGCGAGCTGGGGCCAGGCTACCTCGGGGGTGGGGCAGTGGCTGGGCTGGGGGAAGAGCTGGAGCTGCCTACGCCCAGAGATGGGTAGGCAGCCCAGGCTCATCAATTAACCGTTTACACTGTCACATCCCTAATGTAAAGCTGATGTTTTTAACTTATGGCATTTGCTGGTGGTGTCAAGCCAGCAAATGCTATGTCTGTTCAGTTGGTGTTGGGGAATAAAGTAGCAGAACTTGATTATGATGGAGTAAATCCAGTGGGTCCTAGTGAAACATTTAGTATCTCTGTTTAATCCTGACTCCCTGAGCAGGAACAAATTTAGCCTTGCCAAATGTGTAGTATTCCAGTTCAGGAGGAAAAATGATTTTAGATAAATTGCTCCTAGCTTCCACTGTACTGAAACAAATGGACTTAAAGCATAGCAATATGATTCATCAAACTCTTGCCTATTGAAATAACTCACTTGTTAAGTCGGCCGCTTTTAGAAAGCTATTGGAAGGGCTCCCCTCTCCTCTCCCCCCACCCCAATAGGCTGCATGTATTTAAGGCATGTTAAAATACAGGCAATCAGGATGTCCCTGTAACTGTAAGGAATATAAAAATTCATTCCTTTGCAGTTTCAATACATGGTACATGTGAGAATATTCTGTCCTCAACACACTACCATTCAGCTATTTCAGGTATATAAAGGAATTCAATTTTTGGTGTCGTCTGTTCCTTTCTGCCAAATAGGAATAAATACTCGCACTGTACATGAAGTAGGATACCTAAGGCTTGGATGTATCCGTACAGGTTGGACCTCACTGGTCCAGCACCCTCAGGACCTGACAGGTCCCGAATGAGGGGATTTGCTGGACCATGGGAGGTCTCTTCTCTCCAGACCCGGGCTGCCTGCCCTTGCTGCTGCCCGAGCCCTCTGGGGCTTTCTAAATGCCACAGGGGCTGGAGCTTCACAGCCGGGGCAAAGCTCCGGGCTGGGGCTGGAGCTCCATTTCCCCTTCTCTCCCCCCACACATACGGTTCCTGGCTGAGTCACTGATACCCCCTACCATGCTCCTGCCTGGCCGCCAGGCCTCCATGTTCTTGAGCTCTGTGGTGCTGAACCATAGATGTTGCCAGACCAGGGAGTCCTAGTTAATCAAGGTACAACCTGTTATTTCAACGGTATCTTAAAGATTTCTCTCTTTTTTTTTTTTTTTTTTTTTAAATGCAACCAACTATATACCGAAAACTCCGTATGAGTTCTTTTACCTTGTTAATGCAACATGTTGAATATAAACCAAATATTCTCTGTATTGATCATGGAGAGAGGCATTGTATGTCATTTTTATTGATAACTTTTTTCTTTTAAAGGTCAGTCCTATGAAATACGGCTGCTAGATAATCGGAAGATTGGTGACATGCCAGAGATCAGTGGAAAACTAGTGAAGGTGAAGTAAATAGGTTATCTAGATAATAGTCCAGTGGTTTTCAACTTTTTTCTGCTCTTTGCATCAGGGAAAAAAATTGGAACCAATTCTTTCCCAGGCCTCTTACTTTAACCATACATAAAATAGACACCGTCGCACCCCCAGGTTGAGGATCCCATAGCTTAGTCTGGTTGGAAGCCAGAGAGCATTAAAGGAAAATTAAGCATTTTCCTTCCAGTTAACATGGCTGGATAAAATCAAATCCAAGTGACTTTTTTTAAAGTGATATCTTAAAATTCATGGTGTTTACCATTGAAAACAATGTCGTTCTGTTTGCCCCATCCCAAAGGGTATAGTGGAACTGGAAAAGCTTCAGAAAAAGAGCAACAAAGATGATCAGAGTTATGGAAGCTGCTGTATTGTGGGGAAGGGTAAATAACATTTCTCTTGATATTCCCCCTCCCCCCTCCACACACACTGTTCATATTTGCTTAGACTGCTGTCACATTCCGTCTGTAGGTGTCTCTCCCCTCCTCCCCCCCCCTTTTAAAATAAACAGTCCTAATCCTTTCAATCTCCTCTGGTATGGAAGCTGTTCATATCTAGAAGGAATGCTGTCAAGTTGGTGGTTTTCAAAATATATTATTTTAGTCTGCATATTAAGTTTTTACCTTTAACTGGTCCACCCTACTGGCAGAAGGGACGAACACTGCCTTATATAGCAAGGCCCATAAGAAGTTTAAAATCCCTGATTTGTCCCTCACCTCTTTGATTTCCGTTGTAGTTCATCTTCTGTCTTGCAGGATTCAGTTTTTCCTGGATAGATACTTCTTCATTTTGATTGTGACTGTACATTGTCTGTTTTGAATAACAAATTGCAATAGCTGTCTTTATTTTTTTTAATCACAGTTGAATATTATTAGGTAGAAGAGTAGCTGCTCCATAGATGAGATTTAAGACTTGGTTTCTATTAAAAGCCAACTTAGAGGACTTCGGAATTTACAAAGAATACACTATGCACTTTCATATATTGTAAGAGTGACCGCCACCAGTATCAGCAAGAGTCCAGCATACTCTCTCTGACACCAGAGGACAAGTCAGTCATGCAGGCCTTTGTACCCCTAATTCCCAGTTGGCTTCCTTGAGTCACTTGTCCCTTCTTCCTTTTTATTTAGAAGTTCTGGAGTGGTTTTTTTCCCCTTCTTTCTTTCCTGTGGCTGTTATAAATATTTAAAAAGAAAATAAGGAAACCAACAAAATCAAGGCTTATTTAAAATTACAGTTGTGAGTACATCATAACTTTTTAATAGACATACAAGATTATTGTAGTTTAAACAAAAACAGACAAAAGCTTTATTCGAGTTTAGAGAGTATGAAATGAGCATTTTGACTCTGCCCCATAGAAAGCTTTGTGTTTTGGTGTGAATTACCGCATCTTATATTTAGGGAAGCTGAAACCCAAAGATTTATGGGTGGGGTGACCCTTTTTTTAAAAGGGACAGTCCTGTTTTTAAACCCTCCTACAGCTAGTGATGGGGCAAAGCTGCCGCAACCAGGGCCAGAAGCTCCCCCTCCTGATCCATCTGTGCATCCCCTGTTGTGTCCCAGCTCTCAGCCAACAGGGTCCCAGGTCCTGTTTCCAGGTTGGCTGCATGCTGTGGGCAGAGGTAGCTGGTGAGCACAGGCAAGTGCCAGCCAATGGACAGGTATTTGTTGCCTCTGCTGCCCACCCATTGGTCCTTTATGTACTCCCCCTCTTGCTGTTCTCTCTTACACCCCTTCATGCCCACCCAACCTTGTTGATCCTCTATATCCCCCTTTGCAGGATGCCTTTCCTAAGCACTGTGTACAGAACTAGCCCCTGGTCAGATCACTTATCCCAGCAGGCTTCATCTTTCCTCTGGCTGGGCTAGCACCCTGGAAAAACCAAAGACCCTCTGGCCAGGATGCTGGCCAAGAAGAGCCTCGCACAATGCTGGCACAGAGTAGCTTCTCACATCTGCACCTAAACTCTGGTATGGTAGGGGAAGGGAGAAGTGATTTCCAGCTTGTTTGCACTCCAGTCCTGCAGGAGCTTAGCACCCTCTTCCTCTGCTGCCAGGGAGTGCAGGCCTGCATCATCCTTTAGGCACCCTCCCCTGCTGAGCCACCTTTCTGGGTGGATTCGCTGTTGTCAGGTTCGGTGGGCCCTAGTGCACAATGTGTATCTTGGGGGTTTAATCCTTTCCTGTCTGTGCTCTAGCTAGGAAACAGGAAGCGGCTGCTTCCAGCCAGGGGTAGCTGTGAGTACTGATCACCTTAGAAAAGCAAATCCTAAGTGTCTTGCTGACGGTCACACCAGTGGTTGCTGGGCAAAAATCCCATATCCTGAGACTCCCAGACTTATCAATAGTGCTAACCAATTTTTTTCTGTGTACACTCCTATTTTTAGGTTGCCAGACAAATGCTCATAGATTATTTGTTTGGTGGTGGTTGTTTTTTTTCCCTAAGAACCTGAAGGACACCTTGGAGAAATTAAAATATACACTCTGTTGTTAGTGCTCTGAATGAGAGGGAGTTGTCATATCGGTAACTTTTTTTGTCTTCCAGTGATGACTGTGCATTTGAGAACTTAGTTGGCAAGTATAGTCTTACAGTTTGCTTTTGCTTAGTTATTCAGACAGGGAACTTATTCTGTGATACTTCCAGCAACGAGTATTTGATGTGAGCATCACATTGCTGGATTTGTGGACCTTTGATCTGAAACACTGTCATTATCTGTGTTGTTCCTCTCCTGTTGTGACACAAGTTGCAGATTTCTGCCGTCTTTTTCCATTGGGGCTTTAAGTAGCATTTCAGTGTACCCGATGGGCAGGGCTGGCCAAGCGGCGGCGAGCCATGCTCGCCAGCCACGCAGTTCAGCATGCTGCGCATGTGCTGATCGTGCTGCGGTGCCGTGCCGGGCTATAATCTACTCGCCCATGGTGAGTAGATTACCTAAATTGTCGAGCCCTGCTGATGGGAACCCACGGCTGTTGAGAGGTATTTGTTGTTTTTACTGGTTAAATACACGTATCGTGACTAACGTTTAGATGAATATTTGAGATCAGGGTTACTTTGCAAGTCAAACTGCTAAATTTACTGCTTTTAATCTGAAACGTTTTCTGTTTAGACACTGAAATACTTGTTGGTTATGAAATATTTTCTACAGTGGGATATTTTTGCATTGAAGAAAACTGCTACAGATATTTCAGGTTCCCAATAAGCTTAACAATTTAATTTGAGAAGTAATGTTTACCTTTTGTTTTTTCAACTTGTTTTCATGCTGAAAGCTACAGTAGGTTAATGGCAAGAATATGGATAAAGCCAAAGCACAGTATTTGAAAGCTTTGTCCATTTGGCAACTAAGGATGTTAAATGTTGGTTAATTGAATAGTCAATTAACCTCATGAGTTCTTATCAGTTAATCGACTATTAAATAGTCCCTGGGGCAGGGCTGGCAGCCAGTGTGCTCTGGCCTCACTCCCGAGGAGCACTCTGTCACTCCACACTACTACATCTGTGTCAGAGGCAGCAGTGTAGGGCGCCAGGCCGGAGCTTACAATGGCCAATTTGAAAACCAGCTCCCCTTGCGGACTGGTAGCCTGTTGTCCAGTGCTGCTGCCTCAGATAAAGAGGAAGCAGTGCAGGGTGACAGTAGCCCTTCTCTAGGGGGTGTTTGAGCTCCTAGACCCAGTGTGAGCTGGAACTGAGTTGGGCTGCTGCCCGACTGGCTCCTAATACACTTTAAATGCAGAGCAGCTGCAGCAGGGGTAGGTCCTGGACCTGGTGTGAGTCAGGACTGAGATGGGCTGCTGGCCAGCCTGCTAAAACGTGGTGGGGGAGGGAAATGTGTGTAGTCTATAGCATTAACATATAAGCTTTTGCTTATAGGTTAATTGACTAGACTATTACATCCCTATTTGGCAACCCTTTGTGAACTGCCAGTTTCTGTATCTCCCTCTGTATAGCATAGTAATTTTACCTGTTGCTGTGCATGTTCACATAAATGGGCAGAGAGAGAGGCACCCATCTCTTAATTACATTTAAACTGCAGAGCTGCAGCGGAGGTAGCTCCTGGATTCAGTACCCCCTTATCGTGGCCAGCCCCAAGTGCCAGCGAAACGTGCTGAGCAAGCCTGACAAGGGGCAGCCCACGGGTGGGTTTGATTTGGAACATGGCTCAGTGCATCTCATTTAATCACTCCCTCTCCCGTCTTCCCATAAGGCCCTGGCAGCTTGGGGGAAACCTCAGCGAGTGTCTGCCCGCCACGCATATCCTGGAGTCAGGAGAGGAAGCCAGAGGGTCGTGGCAACCCCAGGCAGGCTGGCTGGGCCCAGGGAAGGCAATGCTGAGTCAGCAGAGGGGCGTTTGACCTGCCTATTTGTGTCCTCAGCTTCACCAGAGCAAAGCTAAAGCCACTTTGGGGTGGGGGCTGCACACTGGTTGCCCAACACGCTGGGTAGCAGCACCCAGGCTCCTCACGAGCCTGGCAGGAGACGGGCAGAGCCTGGCCAGGGCGGGTAGACAGAGGAGATGTGCCCACACCACGTGAACCCTGCTCAGTCCTCGGCCACTTGCCCTGCTCTGCCCCTCAGGCTGCCGTGCACCCGGACTGAGCCACACAGCACCCACCCAGGACAAAGCCCCAGAGATGGGTGCACTCTGGTCCTTGCCCGTGAGCCCAGCGGCCTCCTGCTGTGAGTGTGCAGCATTCAGCGTCCATCCTGGGCTCACTCCAGCCAAACAGAGAGCCCAGCCACACCATCTTGGCTGCCAGAGCCTCCTAGGTGCCCGAGAGATATGGACAGGCTCCCTGAGCACCCAGCCCAGGCAGAGGCGTTAATCCCACCTGCCCAGTCGAGGGCTCCACGCAGCACTGCCAGCGGCATCGGCCCAGTTTGTGACAGGAGACCTGCCCATAGAGCACCCCCAGCCCGGCCAGTCCGCATCTACCCAAGACCAGCCTGGGAGCACTCAGCTAGCCGAGCCATTGCGCTGCACCTGCCTGGGCTTTAGTCTTTGGCTCCCAGCCCAGTGTCAGGCGACCTCTTCCCTTCCTGCTGTGTGTGAGCGGGACTACCAGGAGAATGGTACCAGCTCAGTGTGTGGGACAGGCAGAGAGTGGAGCAGCGGCTGAGCTGTCCCCAGAGTAGCTGGCTCATCCCAGGTCCTTGCCAGTCCCAGACTTTTCCCTTCCACACCGCACTGAATATGGGTGGTAGGGGAGGGGGAAGCAAGTAGAGTAGTCGAGTACTTGACTCGACTACTCCCTTACAGCCCCAGACTGTATACTAAATAAGTGGATTAAGTACTTCCCATTGATTGTGTTCTAAGTGTGTGGTATTTATGCATTTCAGAATATTTGTAATACTTTATCTTTAATGTCCTCTTGAATGTGTACTTATTCAAATTCTAATTTTTATCTATTTTTTTTCCTCTTTGACTAGAGTATAATAAGAGTTGTGTTCCATGATAGAAGGTTGCAATACACAGAGCACCAACAGCTAGAAGGCTGGAAGTGGAATCGCCCTGGGGACAGACTTCTTGATTTAGGTACATCTACTAGTTACCTTACTCTGTGTAGAGTTAAAACAGGAGACAGTCTTTATATGAATCATGTCAATTCATATGTCAATAGCGGGGAGACCAAAAGTGTACATACCAATGTCCATATTCTGCTTGTTCTGTTAGGGTACTTGAGAGTTTTATATAGATGTTTACAACCATGTTACATTTTTAATTTTCCATAAATACCCATAACTGCTTTCACCTAACATTACAAGAAACAACAGCAAAACACTAAATAATTCAGTTACGCCTTTTTTTGTCCTTTGAGAGCAAAATGTGTTCTGGTAATCAGGAATACAAGACAAACATCTTTATTGGTAATGCTGTAAAAACTTTTATTATTGAAATTTTGTATGACATGCAGTAAAACTGATGACCACCTCAAATTATTCCCCAGAAATTAAGTACATATCTCTGTCTTTATCAGACTACTACTCTTGTGAATGGATCTAAGTTTGTCATCCCTTATATAGTGATTCACAGTACAATTTACTGTAGCTGAGTTTGAAGATTAATGGGGTTCTGTTCAAAACAAATAATTCAAGTCCTTTGTGTAAGATGTTCCTATAACACACACACTTTCATTTTTATGTAGATATTCCGATGTCTGTTGGCGTCATTGATATAAAGACTAATCCAAGCCAGCTCAATGCAGTTGAATTTCTGTGGGATCCTGCAAAGCGTACATCTGCCTTCATTCAGGTTTGAAATTTTTCTTCACTGGATGTGTATGGATTTGCTCTTTGGTCATGAATGTGATAAGTTGTGCTATATAATTGTTTCCTATATGATTATTCTAATAAAAAGCAAAATCCTATTAAGTCCCATTAATTTTGGAAACTTAGATCCGTTCAACTGTATGTGCTGTGGGTGATATTGATTTTTTTTTTTCATCTGGGTATGAGGTGTTTTTAAACATAGCTTAAAACAGAAGCAGCTTTATAAAACAGATCAATAAATTGACTCTTTTTTTAAATGAAAATTAATGATTAACTCGTACATCTTTTATAGATAAGTATTTAGGGATGTATAATTTCAAAGCAGTTTTTGTAAGCATCACTTGTTCCATTACTTCAGTTCTGGTTAATAGGGTCTAATCTCTTAAAAATGCATTCCATGAGGACCCCTAGTATGAGGACAGAAATAAGACTGGACCTGCCTTACTAATAGAAAGCATTTGAAATCACTAGATTTCAAAATAGATTTTCAGTTCTCTCTTACCTAATTGATAAGATGTTAATTTCTTGAAAGACTGTTTCTTACATTCAAGTTAGTATTTTTTCCTAAGTATTTTTTTCCCTGCATAGGAGTGCTTTGGTTAGAATCTTCTATATTATGTTATAGTCTTCCTTCTGGAAAATTGTCTCAAACCCATTAGTATGGGGGGGAAGTGCCAAGTGAGAGTTAGCAATGTTCCTTAGCCTGCTAGCCTAGGTAGATTATTTCCAGATTGGCAGTAAATAATGTACACTGTACCCTAACAGTAATAATTCTTCCTTTTGTCAAGGAGTAGCACAATTATTACAATTATCAGCATGGTAGCAGTGTTAGTATCTGCAAAACCAACAAGGAGGCCTGTGGCACCTTAAAGACTGACCGATTTATTTGCGCATAAGCTCTCTGTATCAGGTTTCCATGGAAGGGAGTAGAGTGTGTAATGAGCCATCTATTTAATTGTGTTCGTACAGTTATGTTGTCATCCTTGTAGAATGTGCTAGTGACACAAAGAAAAGCTTATTTGACTCTTACTGTATGGAAGGTAGGAGTGCCTAGTATGGAGGCATTAGTGATTTATTTACTATTTGATGCCCTACAATATTGTGACTGTTGTATTGTTTCCTGATAAAGTGCATTCTTTTTGTACCTTTTTACTGGATGGTACTCGTATGTCTCATAAAACCCCTGCCTTTATTCTAGTATTTTCAAAAAAGCTGTAGAACATTAGGTATCAAATCCACTGCTATTCGGGTGCCTACCTCCATTAGCCTCTTTTTTTTTTTTTTTTTTTTTTTTTTTTAAATCCCAGCCTTAAATCAGATTTGAAAATCATTCTAGTAAATGGTTTTGATAGAAATTTCAAGGCATTATATTAAAATATCCTGCTGTTCAGGCTAGCTGACTTGTACCTCTGGGCACTAGTACCTGGAAAAAATTAAATGTATTCATTATGATTGATGTAGCTGTTCTGCTATTCAAAAGTATGAGATTTTGATAAGGACTTTTTAGTTGTACTTGATGTGGTTCTTTAATTTTGTGAAAGATACAGGAGAGTTTACAAGTGATGTATTGATAGGTTTAGACTTTTCCCTATTCAGTGTCTTCCAAAGCCTGTGGGGCTGGCAAAGATACAGGTGTTTGGTTTTGCCTGCCTTGGATTTCCAGTTTAATTTCCTGAATAAGCCGTAAATTGTTGCCTAGCCTGTTGGAGACATTTATATAATAATGGTAGTGGCAGAAGTATTAAGAATATGCTCAGAATGGAGTACAGCTTCATTTTGTTTTTCAGGTACATTGCATCAGCACTGAATTTACCCCACGTAAACATGGAGGTGAAAAAGGAGTTCCTTTTAGGATTCAGGTTGACACTTTTAAGCAGACTGAAAATGGAGACTACACGGATCATTTGCATTCAGCTAGCTGCCAAATCAAAGTTTTTAAGGTAATAATGGTCCCCAGTAAATTTTTTAGACCTAGATAAAGGGTTTACATGATATTGGCTGATTTCAGACCTATATTTCAATTGTTAAAACTGCTTTCTATCTGTTTGTTCATGTACCTATTCATTTTTAGCCAAAAGGAGCAGACAGGAAACAGAAAACAGACAGAGAAAAGATGGAGAAGCGAACTGCACATGAAAAAGAAAAGTATCAACCTTCATATGATACCACAATTCTTTCAGAGGTAATACAAAGGACCTACTCCACATATTTATGAAGAAAAATGATCTAGAGACAATATACAAATATTAGCAGTAAATAAATTATATTCTGAAAAGGGGTGGGGGACTGTTACAGTATAAACAGACACAAAGGTAGGCTTTTTATTGTAACAAACTTGTCTCAAAGAAAAACATCAGTAGCCTTTAAGATTCTGAGTAAATTTCACATGGATATATAATAGATATTTGCACTCAAATACCCTTGGGTAGAGCACTGTTTGTGCTGAATTCTAAAACAAGTCTCAGGTACAGATCTAAAAACCTTGCAGCTAAAAATACACAAACTGGGGTTTAGGATTTAATTATACCTGTCAATTTGAGCTCAAAACCATATTTTTAGAGACTGAGTTTATGGCTAGAGCTTCACTGGGTATTTTCTTTTTCTTTTAAACACCAGTGAGTTCCGTATAGTTTTCTAAAGATGGCAAAAGTTTTTAAAAGGCTTTTAGATCTTTCCTCACTGTATAACGAAAAGAAATTGATCCAAATCTTTGGTGTTTGTCCAGATGAGGCTTGAGCCTATAATTGAAGATGCAGTTGAACATGAGCAGAAAAAGTCCAGCAAGCGGACTTTGCCAGCAGACTACGGTGATTCTCTGGCAAAGCGAGGCACTGTAAGGGACTTCTGCTTACCTTTTCATTGTGCAAGATACCTTGTGCAGTGTTAGATATAGGAGAAACTTCCATGATGAAAAATAAAAACACATTTTGACTGCCTTGGCTTAATTTCATTCACTCTTGTTTACACCAATTATTCTGCTTCAGTGAGGAATGCTTCCTAAATCTAACACTTAAGACAAATTGTTGCAAAGGGACTGCGTGATTCTTTTAAAAAACAAGAATTTTCAGTTTACACGTGCATTTCCTTTATTGAAATAGCTAGATGTTTTTTAAAAGCTATTTGCTTTCTTTATATATATGTAATCCCTGAAAATGAAGATAATAGCAACATTTAGTTAAAGCATGTATGTTTTATCCCATATTATCCACGTGTTTAATGTAGGTTTCCGTATACCTTTGTACTTTTAAAGCCCCATGTATTGTTGGAGAGTTTGATTATAGTAATAATACTTTGTTTCCTCTGGCCATATGCATCTTGTTCTCCTTTTGCTTCTGTCAGATACAGTGAGACTTAATGTTAATGAGCACTATTTTTCTCACAGCATGCGGACCATCTTATTTAATCCTGTGTCTGCGTAAAAGAAGCAAATATATATTGTATGCTTTCCCTGTCAAGTTCTAACCTTTTAGATGTTTAAGTTGACATGGTGAATGATAAAGATATCCAAAAATATTCATTACTTAAGGTAGATTTTAGCAAATTTTGGGGCAAGTTATGATCCTGCATCGATCTGTTAGTGAATTTGGTCATATATTAATGTCCATCAGTGAAAGTGATTTGACTTAATCCACTGAACCAGCAGGTTTTGTTCATATTAGGGATGTCTACATGTACATGACAATACGATTAGCCGATAAGCCTAGGCTATACCTCTGTATCGGAGGCAGCAGGTAGTTTTAAGTGAACTTAAAAGCCAGTTCACCCCAGCACCAGCTCCACTGTACCTGTCAGAGGCAGCAGCAGGGGGTAGTGGAGGCTGCCACAAAGCAGCCTCTCTCCACTGCAGGCCCAAGTGCCCCATATGCCTTGGAGCAGCCTTGGTCCCCAGTTAGCCTGGGCCTGCCGTGGGCAGAGACTTCTTCACAGCAGCAGCCCCTGTCCACAGGGGGGTCGAAGCTCCCCATGGACAGAGGCTGCTTTGTGGCAGCAGCATGGGGCGGCAGGCAACCTGTTTGCGAGGGGAGCAGGTTTTTTAACTGGCTCCCCTCTCGGATTGGCTCCCCCAGCCACCGCTGATAGAGAGGCAGCAGCGCAGCATGGCAGGGGACTCCCCGGGAGTGGGGATGGTGTGCACTGGCTGCCAGCCCCGTTCCTGGGCACTATCGAATAGTTGTGTAACTGATAATATTTTATGCTGTTAAAGGACTATTCAGTTAACATCCCTAGTTCATATTTTCTGGACACCTCTTCCTCTAAATCACTTCTGTGCATCAGCGTTCCCCTTCACAAATAATCCCTTTGTACGCTATTCCAAGTTCAGCTCGTTCATTTGTCAAGGGAAGGGACCTGTTCGTTCTTTATGAAATGCCACACACAACTGAGGCACTATACCAAACAAGCATTAGAGAGAGTGGGCTGAATTCTTTGGAAACTTAGTTTTACTAGATGTACTAAACACTGGGCTGTCTGGAATTACCTAATGCTATTCTTAGTATAATACTGGCAACCTGGAATAACTCGTTCCATAGTTGAAGCTGTTATATTCCTTCTACAGTATCTGTTGTCAACCCAGACATTCTTTTGTTGCTGGGCAGGCTGTCCATCAGCAGACATATACAATGGGGGGAGGGGAAAAAATCAGTGCTCAACGGGACACGTCTCATCTAAAGCATGTGAAGGTTAGAAATGGGAACAGGTGACTGGTTAACCTGTTACACAGTAAGCATTACTCTTATCAAGCGATGCTTACAAGTAACTGGTTAACCAGCAGCTCTGAAGAGCCGTCCCTGCCTGCGGCCTACTTACCCATGGGATCCTGCTTAATCGGATAACTGGTTAAACATAACATTTAACTGGTTAACGGATTAAATGAGACTTTATATGCCTAATTAACATTTCTAATTAGATAGAGGCAGCTGTTCTAGATGGTGAGGCTAGACTTTGCATGTTTGTTTTTTAACTTCTTTTTTCATTTATTCCTTAATTGGGTATTCTGAGATATGGAAACTGGTGAGTTACTTCCCACGGAATGGCATCTGGCTGACAATCACCCGCAGCAGTTTTTCTCCCTATGCTTAGTGAATCTGCTTAGATTTGGTCTCCTGCTAAATGGATATTTCTGCTGGTAGTTGTCAGGCAGATGCCATCCTGTGGGAAGGAGCTCTCCAGTTTTCTTCCCACTGAAGTGCTGGAAAAGCAGAGCTTAGTCTCTAAAGCAGGGTTTCCCAACCTATGGGTAAGGACCCAAATATGGGTCGCCATTACATTTCAAAATGGTCACCAGGTGTCTCCCCAGGTGGCTCTTAAGGAGCCATTCACACATTTTTTGAATTGTCCTGGGTCAAGTCTTGCTGAATTGTCAAAATGGTTACCCATCTGGAAAAGGTTGGGAACCACTGTTCTAGAGGAAGGTAGAAATTCTATTAGATTTGGCAAAAATAGACCAGGCACTTTTTATAGGTAACTGAGCAACAAAATGGCAAATTAATTTTAATGTTGATAAATACCAAGTAATGCACATTGGAAAAAATAATCCCAACTACACATACAAAATGATGGGGACTAATTTAGCTGAAACCACTCGAGAGATTTTGGTGTTATTGTGGATAGTTCTCTGAAAACATCCACTCAATGTGCAGAGCAATCAAAAAAGCAAAATGAATGTTAGGAATTATTTAAAAAGGGATAGAGAATAAGACAGCGAATAGTTTACCTCCTCTATTAATCTGTGACATGCTCACCTCTTGAATACTGTGTACAGATGTAGTCATCTCATCTCAAAAAAGATATATTTTCATTGGAAAAGGTTCAGACAGGGGCAACAAAAATGATTAGGGGTTTGAAATGGGTGCCATATTAAGATGGATTTAAAAGATTGGGATTTTTCTTTCACCTTAGAAAAGAGGAGACTAGTGGGGGATATGATAGAGGTCTATAAAATGACAGGTATGGAGAAAGTGAATAAGGAAAAATTATTACTTGTTCCCATAATTTAAGAACCAGGGGTCACCAAATGAAATTAATAGGTTTAAAACAAATACAAGGAAGTATTTCTTCACTCAGTGCACGGTCAACCTGTGGAACTTCTTGCCAGAGGATGTTATGAAGGCAAGGACTTTAACAGGGTTCAAAAAAAGAACTACAGTGAAACTCCATTAGTCCGGCATCCAATGCTCCAGTACTCCTGATGGTCCGGCACCATCAGGAACCCGGAAGTGCTCCAGGCAGCCGAACAATTGGAGCTGCTCTCCACCCAGCTCCCCCGATTCAGCCGCTGCTGAAACTGACCAGCAGCTGAATCGGGTAGCCTAGCCTCCTCAGAACACACACACACTGGCTCCCTGTGTGCATGGCTGGCCGGGGTACTGCTGTCAAAATCTCCATCCTTGGGCTCAGTGGTGCTGAAGCATCTAAGGTGGAGCACACATAGGGGCACCCCTCGAAGAATATTTTCTAACACCTTATATATAATTGTTGTGATATAACACTAGCCATTAAACATATGAAAAAATGTACTAAGTTGCCATAATAAAAGTACAGTAAACTTCCAATAATCCGGCACCTTTAGGACCCAGGAAGTGCCGGATTATCAGATATGCCGGAGGGCTATGAGGAGTCTGGGTTGGCATTCCCCCTACCCCACCCCAGACCCTTCATAGCCCCCCCCCTTCTGATAGTCCGGCATATCTGATAATCCGGCACCCCCTGGGTCCTAAAGGTGCCGTATTATTGGAAGTTTACTGTAGATAGATGTATGGAGGATAGGTCCATCAATACTTTACTTTAAGCCAAAATGGGTAGGAATGGTGACCCTAGCCTCTATCTGTCAGGGGTTGGAAATGGACGTCAGGAGAGGGATCAATAGATGATTACCTGTTTCTTTTCACTGTCTCTGGGGTATCTGCCATTGGCCACTGTCAGAAAATAGGATACTTGGCTAAGATGGACTTTTAGTCTGACCCAGTTTGGCCGTTCTTATGTTCATTCACTACCCTCTTTCTTCCCTTGTAGTGAGGAATTGTAAATGCAGGAGACTGTTGTTGCATTAATCCTGCAATTCGTGTCCTGGCTATCTGGAGAGACCCTGTAGAACCACAAGCTGAAGGCTTTCAGTGATGAAAGGGCTGCATGCTATGAGCCATCATTGTCAAACTTTATAATCTTTGCAAATGTGAAGTTTATAATATGCTGAATATTAGGTTTTTGCAAGTGTAAAGCTCATACTGCACAGAGCTTAATATTTTTTAAATGAAAGTTACTGCATATACTCATTCATAAGGTGACTTTTTTTGGAAAAAAATCCCACTGTGAAGAGTGTGGGTCAGCTTATGAAAGGGTTCTTCCCGTGGCTCAGAAAGAAACGCGAGCTGAAGGACTTGCTGCCGGCACAGAGCCTCTTAGCTCCCACTGGCTGGAAATAGCGAATAGCAGACAATAGGAGCTGAGAGGGTCCATGGCTGCAGCTGGCACTGATGAGCTGAGACTGGAAGTCTGCACTCTGGAGTTGGCTTATAAATGGGTCAGTGACTTTTTACCATTTTTTCTCTTAAGTTTGGGGGATTGGCTTATAATCAAAGGGGCTTATGTTCGAGTGTATATGGTAATTAAAATAGAAAATTAGAATACAAAAACTTGAGTTTATAGTACTTAACTTTTTGATGGTATTTATGTAATGGGTGGCAACTCAAGCAACATTGTTTCTAATATACTTCATCTCAGTTTAACTCTTTACAGAAGCACAGGCTAGAGTTCTGCCTTAAGTCAGGGTGGGATATTTGATATAAGCCTTGATAAATGAATGCTAATAGTTTCTTGTCAGTGTCAGAGAGAGAGACATACATTTTTCTTAGTAAAACACTTTTAATGCACACACCACTTATAAATAGCATAAAATGTGGTAAATAGTAATTGAAGTGCTATGAATAACCTTTAAATAAAAGCTACTAAACAGTAAATCTGCTGATGTTCCTTATGCAGACTTCCCCCTTTTGTTTGTTACAATCAAATATAAGATTTTAATATAATTTTTTGGTGCACTATAGTGCACCTATCAAAAAGTTGCTTTCTCATTCTTTAGAGAGTCACCATAGTGTGTCACCAGGACTCTTCTAAACTTGAGAAATGGCAGCATGTTAGTCCTTTAAATACTCAAGAACCTTGTTGGCAAATATTGTGGGGCTTCACAGCTAGCAACATTCTAGGGTTGCCAGATGGTTTAACCAAAAATACCCCCCCAGGGGGGGGAGGAGAGGAAGAGAGACCAAAGTTGTTGAGCAAAAAAAAAAAGGACCCGAGAGTTATTTCACAACCAAAAAATAAAAAAAACCCAGCATGGCCCCTTTAAGAACAGGGGCTGGGCTCTGCCTCTCCTAACAGGCAGCCAGTGGCCATATTGTCTCCCTGCTTCAGACCAGACAGCTTCCCTGCAGAACCAGGTAGGGTTGCCAGGTGTCCGGTATTGACCCAGACAGTCTGGTATTTTTGCCTCCTGGCAGGGGAAAAAGAAATCAGAAAATACTGGACATTTTAGGTGTCCAGTATTTTCTGAATGCTTTTACCAGACAGGAGGCGAAAATACCAACTGTGCGGGTCAGTACTGAACAGCTGGCAACCCTACAACATTCTAAGCCTCGGATTAATAACTGCCAGATGCTCTCAGTTGTGGGGAAACAGAAATTTGCATCCTGTATGCAAAGTTGCATAGGGTTTGGGACCCAGCCATCACAGCAAACAGTCTCTTGGTTCCATCAGTCATCTGTTGAGTCCAGGGGCCTGCTTTTAACTGCTGTTTTAACCCCCAATCAGTGATCTCTGATTAGTTCAGCTCTCTGAGGGTGACTAGGGTATGACTGCCAGGGGAGTGGCCCACAGTGAAAACTTCCTAAACAGTCTCTCACCAGCCACTGAAAATGTCTGGTAACTACCACTCTGTTCCGTAAGTTTTTGGATCTTTCTGCGTTGCCATGACCTATTCTCTGCATGTGTGCAGAAAGTCAGACTTGGTATCAAAGTAAGATGGTCACATGCAGGATGTCTTTTTTTTTTTTTCCATGTGATTCTATCTACTTCCTCCACACTACTGCATTATCTTCCACTTCTTTGGAGAAACAAAGCCAAATGATGCAATATAGAACACACATAGGAGGGTTCCACTTTGTTTAAAGGTTATCATAGTAAACCTTGTTGAGCCCCATAGCATGTAGCTAGTATTTCTTTATGTTGTTGGGTTTTTTTTTAAAGTATCTCTTATTATATTCAAGTTAAATGCCAAAAAGGTGTACCGTGTGCAGCATAGCTGATTTAGCATGACCAGGACAGTAATTTTGTCATCCTCTGACTGTTTAAAGTAACTTATTACATTAATAGAAATTCTAATTGTTTGGTCATGCTAGACTAAATGCTATTTGGGATAGGAACCCTATATTTTTATATTTTCTTTGACGTGCCATTATGGGGGGGTTCTGTAAATTTAGTCATGTTGATCAAGCAGGTGACGTGCATTCTAAATCAAAGGATCTGATAAACTAGAAGGCATCCATACTGTGTTCAAGAGTGTGTGTTCAGGGGCACCTGTGTGCAAATGGCTTTTTACACATTCTAGATCTTTAAAAAGATAGTTATAACCCTTTTTGGAGAAAGTCTGGAAGATCTCTGTCTCTCTTTTAGAGCAGGTGGCAGTTGAGGCTTCAGCATCTCTTACTGCTTACTGTGGAGTTTGTTGTTTGTTTTTATTATGGATTTGGGCAGGGTTTGTCCAGAGCTGTCTTTCTGTTTTCTTTGAGCAGAAACTTTTGGGGAATTACTTAGCTCAGCTTATGGAATTTAAGAAGGTGAGCATGAGCTTCTAGGAGCTTTCTTAAGGTTAATCCTTTTGTCCAAGGTCTGAGCTACACTTGGAGAAAAAAAAGGAAGAGAACCAGAGTGCTAGAGTCATGTTCCTTGTCATTTGCAAATGAATCTTAGTGTGTTGTCTAAGTCAAAAGGGAATTCCAGTATTCTTATACCAAGGCTGTACTAACTCCATCCATATATGATCCCCAAGGGTATACAGCAGTATCCCCTCTGAAATCCTGAGCCCAGACAGGACTGCATCAGGGTCTCTTCAGTGCAGCCGGTTTCTTTTTAGTAACTTCACTTTGTATATCATAGAGATGTTACATTTGGGAAAATCCTCAGTTTTTCACCAAAACAGTGGAAATGTGGCTATCACAAGAATAATACCAAAGGTGCCCTCTTAATTGAGCATTCCTAAGAGTCTCATCTTATATGTTTGTGGTCAGTGGCCTGGGACTTCAGATCTTGGTTAACTATTTCATCATGTTCCTGGCTAAAGCTGTTCAGCAAACTTCAATTTAAATAATATTTCAGAATGCCCAGGTAATTCTGTAATGACAAGCAAATACTTAGAAAATGGCTGAAGCTGCAAATGCATCATCTCACTCTTTAGGATAGTGAAGGACTGATGAATCTGGAAGACTTCAGGGGTGTCCTCCAGCTGCAGTGGGAAGCACCTACTGGCCAGTCCTCTCCTCCTATTAGTTTAACTGTTGTGGAGGTCAGCATGCTAGTGCTTCTTAGCCTTGTGGTGGAGCAGCCATCTGACATTCTTGAAGCCCCAAAGATGCATCTGTGAAAGGGTTAAATAAACAATGTAGGTTTGTATTAAAATCCCTTTGAGTTGTATATTCTAAGGAAGGATAGAGAGAGAAAACCTACCTTCAGGGTGCACATTACAGAGTACGCTTTCCCCATCCATTCAGATGCCCTTGGTTTATAGAGATCAGAACATTCTTTTAAGTGTTGCTGATTATACAGTATCTGGTAACAGGGATGAAGGCAGCTCTGCAGCTACCCATTGAAAAACTGTTGAATTGCCTAATCCTGACTTTAGGGTGTTTGGGTGATGTTTAATTGGTGGCACCTTTATTCTTCACAGTAGGGATGGTAAGATGTGTATACATCAGAGAAGTACAGGGCTTCACTTGGAATTGTCTTCGTTATTGATCCATTATGGCTATATCATACCCTCTGGGAGTGAATTTAAGAGGCCGACATTCAGACCACTAGCTGGGACTCAGAGCAACATTCATGTGCATCTGATTAGGGATGTAAAATCCAATTTAATTGGTTAACCAGTTAACAGCTTAACTGGTATGGGGGATGGGGAGAGGGGGCTGCCCCGGCCCAAGGGGGTATGAGGTCTGGTGGGGGCTGCCTGCAGGTGGGGGGGGGATGTTCCCCAGGTACCCTTTAACCATTACCCAGTAACTGTGATCGATTAAGGGTGATGCTTAACCAGGTAATCAGTTACCCGTTCACATAATACAGTAAGTAATTAAGAAATTCATCTGCAAACACCTGGAAGATAAGGTGATAGGTAAAGAACAAATCATGTCAAACCTGATACTATCAAAGAAAGCTATAAGAAGTCTTGTGGATAAGGGAGAAGCGGTGGACATGGTATACCTAGACTTTAGTAAGGCATTTGATACAGTCTCGCATGATATTATTATCAATAAACCAGGCAAATATAACTTAGATGGGGCTACCGTAAGGTGGGTGCAGAACTGGCTAGATAACGGTTCTCAGAGAGTAGTTATTAACGGTTCACAATCCTGCTGGAAGGACATAACAAATGGGGTTGTGCAGAAGTCTGTTTTGGGACCAGTTCTGTTCAATATCCTCTTCAACGATTTAGATATTGGCATAGAGAGTATTCCTATTACGTTTGCAGATACCAAGCTGGGAGGGGTTACAACTGCTTTGGAAGATAGGGTCATAATTCAAAACGGTCTGAGGTAAATAGGATGAAGTTTAATAAGGACAAAAGCAAAGTGTTTCATTAAAGATGGAACAATCAGTCTCACACATACAGCATGGGAAGCAACTGTCTAGGAAGGAGTATGGCAGAAAGGGATCTAGAGGTCCTAGTGGACCGCAAGCTAAATGAGTCAACAGTGTGACGCTGTTGCAAAAAAAGCAAACCTGATTCTGGAGTGTTCTGAGCAGGACACGAGAAGTCATTCTTCCGCTCTACTCTCCACTGATTAGGCCTCAGTTTAAGTATTGTATCCAGTTCTGGGCACCACATTTCAAGAATGATGTGGAGAAATTGGAAAAGGTTCAGAAAAGAGCAACAGGAATGATTAAAGGTCTAGAGCAGCGTTTTCCAAACTATGGGCCGTGGCCCAGTATCGGGCCACGGGAAAAAAATACCGGGCCTCAGCATGCCTGGTGGCTGCCGGCAAGGCCAGCCTTAGGCCGATTCAGGCCCCGCGAGACAAGGGGAAGTCTGTGAAACAAATGATCTATTGCCCAGAAATGCAAATGTGGAGATAGCTGTGTAGTATAAGCAAGAAAGACCAAGTGAGAAATGTGTGAATTAGAGCAGAAGTGGGCAAGAGGCTTCCAATGGGATGGATCTGGCCCACCAAGCCACCGGCTTCATGGCCGCCTCGCCGGAACCGCTATTTTCAGTTCTGAACAGCTGAGGGAGGGAAGGAGGGAGACTTCTTACACCATTCCCACCCCCCAGCAAAATCTCTTAGCTCCCATTGGCCAATCTCTCAGTTTCCGGCTAATAGGAGCCGAGAACTTTTGCTGGAAGCAGGGGCAGTATAGGAAGCTTTCTCCCTCTCTCCTCGACTCCCTTCCCCCTGCCTCCTCCCGTCATGCCCGGAGCAGAGCCACGTGAAGCAGTGAGCAGCCTGCAGCAGACAGTCTGCCTCAGGTTTCTGCAGGAGAGCACCTCCCAGCCAAAGCCTGCCTCTGGCACCTCAGCTCCTCTCTTCCCCAACCGTCTGCCACCCCCTCTCCGCTTTCACAAACCCAAACCTTCTGCCCTCTCCTGCAACCATACCCTGTCCCAGATCTGGTACCCCAATTCCCTGTTGCAGATCACAATCTCCTCCTACCCAAGGTCACATCCCAAATCCTGCATCCAAGTCCCCTGCCCTAGGTCACAACCGCCTTCTTCACCCAAACTTCCTCCCAGACCCCAAAATTCCTCCATTAATATCCTGGAAGAGTATGGCCCTCTACCACTTTCCAAAATCTTGGAGTACTCCCCCTCCCCACGCCATCAAAAATTACTGCCCAATCCCGAGTTAGAGACATCCTCAAGGTGACACTCCTCAATGAAAAAATGAGGGCATTCAGGACCAAGTGGCATAAGCACATAAACCACAGTCCTCACAACTGAAAGAGAGAGACTCCAACATACAAAGACTGAAAGAAAAAGACAGAGGCTAGCCCAAGAAATGATAGGATGTTATAAAGCATGGGAGGCCAAACTGTGGCATGTTCACAGAGCCCCCTAATCCTCCCTCCCATTCTCTATCTAGCAGATTGGGGGAGGGAAGCTCAGGGTTTCTACCTGACACAGCATAGTGAGCCCAAGGACTTCTGTCAGAGACAGCTGATGCCTTCTTGGGGTTGGGAGCACAATATGAAGGTTTGCGCGTGCGCGCGCGCGCGCACACACACACACACACACACACACACACACACCCCTTGAGTAGTTATGAACTGTCTGGCTGGTAGACACACTCATGCAGCCTGAGCATGTTTACCAGCCAGGCAGTTCGAAACTACAAACTGATACATCTAGTAATAATAAAACTTACCTAATGAGAAAATACCAGACATATTATATGTCTGGTATTTTCTCAGTTTGTTTTTTATGTGTTTATATTTTTGGGCTGCAAAAAGCAGTACTGGGGGGAAAAAAAAGTTCCAACTGAAGTAAAAAGTTTGGGAAACCCTGGTCTAACCAGCTTTCTGTCTGTTTTACAGTCCATTTATCCAATCCATATTCCTTAACTTGCTGGCAAGAATATTGTGGGTGACCATATCAAAAGCTTTGCTAAAGCTCGCACTGGGGGTTTTGGGAGGACCAGAAACAACTTATTTGAATATTCATTTGATTAATGAATATGCAAATGAACATTACCGGTCCTCCAAAAGTTCGTGAATGGATTTACTGGTCCCCATGTCAAAAAGTTTGGGACCCCCTGGTCTGGAGAACATAACCTATGAAGGAAGACTAAGAATTGGGCTTGTTTAGTTTGTAAAGGAGAATACTGAGAGGGGATATGCTAGCTGTTTTCAGGTATCCACAAGGAGTGTGGTGTCACAAGGAGGAGGGAGGAAAAATTGTTCTCCTTAGTCTCTGAGAAGCAATGAGCTTAAGCTGCAGCAAGGGAGGTTTAGGTCGGACATTAGGAAAAGCTTCCTAACTGTCAGGTTAAGCACTGGTATAAATGGCCTGGGGAGCTTGTGGAATTTCCATCTCCTGGAGATATTTAAGAGCAGATTAGAGAGACATCTATCAGGGATGGTCTAGATGGTACTGGATCCTACCATCAGGGCAGGGGACTGGAGTCCATGACCTCTCGAGATCCCTTCCAGGTCTAGTGTTCTATGATTCTTTGATCCCTACAACTGGTGCCTTGGAGTGGTTCAGAAGCTTATTTATGCCATAATCAGTATCAAAACAAGAACAGACACAGACAAGTGCAGTTTTGCTGAATGACCTCTTGAATGAATGTAGATTTTAAAACAGGTTGGCAACCTATGGCTTGCAAGCCAAACATGGCTCTCTTGAAGCTCGAGCCCAGCCGCCCTTGCGTCCCCCAGCAGCAGTTGAACCTGCACAGGTGCTACAGCAGGCCTGGGCAAAACAATCCAGCTGTAGACACAGCAGGGAGCCCCCAGGCAAAGTCCTGTGCTTGCCTCACCCCTACATGCCACTCAGAAAAGTGGCTGTGGGACATTTATTTTGCACAAATTGTGAGCAGGGAAGGGAGAGGGGCGTGGTGCCTCATGGCTGCTCCCACCCCCAGTACAGTCCCATTAACTGTTTCTGGCCAACAGAAGCTGCCTGTTTCAAGAACAGGCAGTGCACAAAGCATTAATCCCCCCTTCCTTCTGACTCTTAGTCACCAAGCACATGGCCGTTCTCATTCACCCAAACTCAATGGCCCCTGACCCCAAAAAAATTCCCCACCCCTGCCATAAATAAAGACTATGTTGAAACCTTTTGTCAGGCATAATATTTTACTTTATTTAAAAATGAAGCCTGGCCAACAAGCCCCCAATTGAGGCCCCGACCCCCATCTGGCTACAGCATCTTAACATTCCTGCACCCCCCCACACACCCGAACCCTGAGTCCATCATCACCTGAATGCCCTACCCTGAGCCCCTCATATACCCAAATCCCCCCCCACATCCCCAGCCCCCTGCCATAAGATTGACAGCCTGAATGTGTGCATGAAGCTGACTTTGACCACTTATGATGTAAACTTCAAAGAAATATGTGAAAAGATGCAGTACCAGAAGTCCCATTAAATAAAGTCTGAGAGTACAATGTTTCACTTATTCTGTTATTAATCGTTATGCCAGTTATCAATAATATTAATTTGTATATTTTCAGTCATGCAAATGGACATTCTTATATGGCTCTTTGCTGACCACTTGTCCGGAATTTTGATGTAGTTTGGCTCCTTGGTTTAAAAATGTTGCCGACTGTTATAAAAGATACTTTAATAAGTAGATTCTTATTTAACCAACTAGAGAAAATAAGAGAGGCGGAACATGCTAATGTCACATTCTACGCAACTGCTGGGATTAAATAAAAAACATACTCCAGATGGCTTCTAGAAGTCCCCATTATGAATGGTCAAATAGATCACACTTGAAAGAAAATACACTACACAGTTCTTGGCAAAAGGCAACAGGGAACACGAGAGTTCGATCATTTGCAAAATTAGGTGCCAGTAATTCACTGTGTGTATGTCTCAACTTCATTTCTTAGAATACTGAGCTGCTGAAGCTTTCAGATTGCATAACATTTCACTAGCATCTTTAGCTACTGAGATGAACCACATGGAGCAGAAGTTGGGTTTGGTTGCTGGACTACAAACCAGTAGAGAATTACAACAAACTACTGCTTGGGAGGGAAAAGCTCTCAAAATGACTAATGATCTTTCTTTCCTCGCACAGACTGGATCACTGTAACAGATTTTTTTTTCCTGTTTGGGGAGAAATGTGCAGAGAATTAACATCCAAAATTTACCGTTTGTAAAGTTCTCGGTAATGCTGCTTAGTTGTTAAAGCCTTTGGAATTTAGATTGTATTTAAAAGAAATGCTGTCAACCAAGCAGCTTTATTTCTGGTAGTCTTATTCTTTAATACCTGATATTCCTGTGAAGGAAATTGAGGGTCTACGATCAGGCCTGGTTTGACCTTAGCATCTCAAAAATTAAAGCATGCTCTAGTAAATATATTTCAAAGCAGCTGAAACCTGGGTCTTGCATATTACAAGATAGAATAATGAAGGATTGTTTCAGGATTCCAAGTTCTAGTTACTGCAGATGTGATCAAAGCAACTGTGGCTTGTTGGGAAGTATTTCTAGTTCTTCTGCAAGATATCCTGGATGTGTATAACAATCTATACATCCATCTTGCTGTTGGTCATGTAATGTTTTATCTGTTCTGATACAAACCAATTATTTCTACAAAACAAGGCTATTTAAAGAGAAATGAAGTTAATTTGAGACTCTATGGTCTGAAGTCGGGCTTTAGAGAAAGTAATGGTGAAAACTATTAAATCATTAACAGGTTGAAAACGTTTAGTTGTTTGAAACTATTAAACTGAAATAGGGATATTAATTTGTTTTACTACTTTGATGTAAAACAGAAGATGTTTGATAAGAGGCAACTACTGTGAAGTAATGGACACAAATATCCTTGTCTTGCTTCTGACCGACTGAGATTCATTTTCTCGTTCGTTTTAATATACTGTGAACAGTAACAGCAGCCTGGCTTAAAATAAAGTGGCACAGTGAGTGATGTATGGCTTTTAATGTTAATATATTCCTCATTCAGTGTGGGGCATTGAAAATTTAAGCTAATCAAGTATGCTGTAACACCATGTTTAGAGTACTTACTAGGTAAGAATTGGGAAGCGTTGTCACATAGTATTTCATCACAAATTATGGTATCCAAAACCTCAGGTTTTTTGAACAATAACACTTCAGGAAAGCAACCAAAGGAGTAAGACAGATGTAATTCTCGTCTGTCTTACAGTGAAGTCTCTTGGCATGGAGGGTGGGTTAAGTTCTTTTTTCCTCACTGATACCCAAATGATTAGGAGTAGTTTTGCCAAAGCATGGCTGAAAGTGGGTAGGAGAATCAGACTAACAAATATCTGGCCACCTTGAAAAGTTGATAATTTTGAGAATCTGCATAGGAAATTACTCCTCTGTACCAACTGAACTGAGTATTTCTTTAATTCTCTTTAGTCAAAAGCCTGCTGTACAATATTACTTCCATAAGTCCAAAGTCTCAAGTTATTCTGATTTGGTGTAAACGCTAAAATGTTACAAATTTAAAATAATTGTCAGTTTTAACTAAAAAGTCCCCTAAAGTTGCATTAAAATAGTTCAAAACAGAATCAACTTAATAAAAAATGTCACCAAGTTTCAGTAGAAAAGACTGATTTTTAAGTATTTATTAAAATGGCAAATGTGGATAACAATGTCCCAGTGGTAAGTGCATACAAAAAATTGCCTTCCTAGAGCACAGGCAGGATATAGTATCCTGGCTATGTCCTGTTTCAGGGTTGCCAGAAACTTTCTACCCTCTAAACTTTTCTCATAGTGCCAGAGTAATAGACAGCTTGTTAGTTTTGTTGTTTGCATTGTGGTCATGCCTGGAGCTCACACTTAGGGATCAAAGCACCATTTTGTTAAGTGCCTTACACACACATAATAGAGCTTTTGTCCATAAGAGATTACAATGTTGTTAGTCTGACACACACAGATAGATATGGTAAAGTGGGTGGAGTACCACCTGGTAACAGTGAGGGATGTTTAGTATACCAGTGCTGGCTATCTCAGTACACTAACTGTGTGATGTTCTTTGTATTAATAAAATTACAAGAACACAAGTCTACATCTAAAATGAGTCCATTTTATATGAAATTTCCAACTTTTCTAGCTTTTGAAGCCCCAAGCCAGTGACTCTAAAAACATTAACCAATTTTAGGATTTATGATGTACCTATTGCTGGTAAGTTGAAAGCCAGACTTCTAGCACAAAAGTATCAATAAGCACGTCCAAATAAAGTGCAGAAAGCATAAGATTTTTCTCATGTCATTGTGGTTTCTAGTCAATAAAGGAGCCTTTCTGTAATTAAACATATGAGGGATTTCAAGGTCACTGAATTTTCATGTTTGAAATGTAGACTCCTGTTAAATTCTGGGAATTACTGTTTAGCTCTTGCTTTTCAGGAACAAGAAAGACCTTTAAAAACTGTTTAAAACTTAGATTTTTTTTTTAATGATTGTCCATTAATTCAAATATATCAGAAACCTGTGTTGGCATATCTAGCATGGTCTTGGCTTTCATTTCATCTATCTCTAAACCTTTTGTAGCAATTTGCTGCTGACTGGGGTTGTTTTGTGAACTTTGGATGTCTTTATTTTGTTTAAAAAAAAAAATCTATGCAGTCCTTTCATCAGCTCCATCCGCACTACTGTTAGTCTGTCGTTAGAAGGCAATAATCAAGTTGTTAACAAATAGGAATTTCCTTCGTGGAACAGAAAATAAGTAAAACAGCTTTGTGTAGGACGACATGCCAAAATAATAAGATTTTAAAGATAAACTTGTTAAATTGTTTTCTCTACAGTGCTCACCATGGCCTGATGCTCCCACGGCATTTGTAAACAACAGTCCTACCCCAACTCCAACTTTTACCTCTGCTCAACATAATACCTATAGTGTCCCAGACAGGTAAGTTTATTTTCTGTAGTTTAATTTGAGGGTGTTTTTTTAATCAAGCTTATTGCTTAAAGCATTTTCCTTTCATTAGAAGAGAGATCATGTATAAATAAGAGAGCTTGACTACCAATCCCCAGAATTAAGTTGTACACAGGAAGGGAAATTTGGAAATGTGATCAACACTTTTCAGAACTCTGAAACCTTCGGCATTATGTTTTTTCAGTTATAAAATTATTATTCCAGCCCAGAAATCCTGTTTTCGCTGCTCTGTATCCATTGCTGGTAACTTAATGTATTGACCCCAGCACAGTTCATAGCAAATACTTTTCCATTTAATGGGGGTATCTTACTAAGGCCTTATCTACACGAAAGTCTGGCCACTTAAACTGTACCAGTGTAGTTACTACAGCAGCACAACTCTCCTAGGGCTGGTCTACATTAAGTGGGAAAATCAAATTAAGACTTGCAACTCCAGCTACTTAAATTACATAGTAGCTGGAGTTGATGTTACATAGTAGCTGGAGTTGATGCATCTTCCATCACGTTTCCATGCTGTCCACACAGCAGGAGGCCGACGGGAGCAAACATGAGGAGCAGGAGTAGTGGTGCTGATGAGGGCGCCCTTTGAGTTCAATCTAGCACAGTGTTTCTTAAACTCTTTAGGACTGAGGAACACCAAACAATTTTTTTTGCTGAGGGGAAACAAATAAACAAAAAAAGGTCAGGGGAAAGTTATTTAGGCAAAAAAGGTCTCCTGCCCCTTTAAGGGCAGCCATTTTGAATTCTGTTTTTCTCCGTGGCACACTGGTATGCCATGGAACACAGTTTAAGAAACACTGATCTAGCAGGCCTATATTGCATGGGGAAGACTAATTGTGGCACCATCAGTCTTCTGTGTTGTGTAGCTGTGCCTCTAGTGTGGACGGCTATATTGGTATAAAGGTGCTTGTACCACTACAGTTTTTCTGTAAGGGAAGGGAGGGGGAGATATTACAATAAATCTAATCTATGACATAACACATTGAAATACCAAGAATTAGAACAGGGGTGGGCAATAATTTTTGGCCTGGGGCCACTTTAAAAATTTTTTTTGAAGTGTCCCCAAGCAGTCTCGGAAGGGACAGGGACAGGATGCTTCTGGGCTGCCCCACCCACACCTTGCCATAGGCATCCATGCCCCTGGCAGGGCAGGAGGAGGCTTCGTGTGCTCCCTGCCCCCAGGCCAATCAGGGCCTGGGGGCAGGGGCGCATGTGATGTTTCCTCCTGCCCTGTGAGGAACACATGGCACTTCAAAGCGCTGCGTGGTCCTGCCAGGGAGGAAGTTTCATATGCTCCCCCACCCCCAGGCTCTAATTGGCCTCTGGGGGCTGGATCAACCTGTTTGATGGGCCGGATCCAGCCCATGGAGGCCCTTTTGCCTGCTCCTGAGTTAGAAGGTAAATGATTTACCTTACCTCCATTTAAATCAGGAGGAGTCAGTGATGTAACACAACTATGGATGAGAGACCTAGAGGAAGGTTGATGTTATTAAAAGTATTGTCTGTCTTTTGTCTTTGTATTTTTTCCTCTCGAGTGGTGGCTTACTGGCAGTAGGTGCTGTATTTGAAGCACTTACAGAAATATTAACATTCATCTATGGTTATGCTGGTGAATGGGAAGGAGATGCCACGATGGGGCAGATTACAAATTTTACCTTTCAGACCAGGCTGGTTGGGGGGTGGGGGGAATAGAGAAAAGAAAAGCTTAAAAAATACACATTAGCTCTGAAACTGATAGGCTTTGCTGGAAAGGATTGTTTAGTATTCTAAATAGCAGTTTTAAATATTTCATTTGTAGAAATGTGTTCATATTTCAATACTCTTGGCAAATCCTTTAAGCCTCAAAATAGAACTCCATGCAGGTATCTGTATTTCACATTAGACTTTAAAAACTGACCCTATCTAAGCTGAGTGTGATGTAAGAGTAGAAGTTAGCCTACTGTTGTACCTCACGTTTTGCACTGGTTGACTGATGCCCTCCCTGTCAGAGGCTTCTGCAATGGTGACGTATGTATAAAATATTAGAAATTGGGGTGAAAGATGCTATTTAAATGTGAAGTATTGGTGTAATTTACTGTCACTAATGCAACATTCAGGAGAACCACTAATTTTTTTCAGGGTATTCAGAAAGCTGATCCTGGCATCTCTACCTTTTTTGTGACTGACCCTGTGCATCAGAGGATGGACAGCACCTCTCTTACCTCTTCAATCCTGTGACCACTATTCATTTCTTCCTTTTAAGATAGATGGTTGGATGTGTGAGTTTATTATGGGTGCTGCTTTTTCAGTTGACTAGCAGGGATTAGATTAGGAATCAAGTGAATTGCAGTCTGTGATATTCCTCTTTTTTACAGCATATCTCCACCAAACCAGTTTATTCCTGAATGGTCTTTAACCTGCCATAAAATAGGGACATTTTTTATCATTTTGGGAATTGAAGGTTACCTTTATCAGTAATGCTTAAATAGTTTTATTCTCTTAATTTTAAAAAAATCAGTAATATTATTTTTGTTCCACCTCTCTACCATAGCAATTCTTCTTCCCCAAATCATCAAGGAGATGGAACATCTCAAGGATCTGGCGATGTAAGTGTTTTCCTGTATGCTCCTCTTTACACAATGAAAAACTTGTATCTAATTGTTGAATAATCAGTAAAATGGAGGTGCTGCATACTGATTTAATTACTGATTTGTTCTAGTGGAACTCAATGAGAGGATTTTTGTAGTAATGTAACAGAGTTAATTTTGTTGTACTAAAAATATAACACCGAAATTGTCTTCTTCAACCCTGTTTCTTACAGCAACTTCATCCTTCAGCCACAATCCAAGAAACTCAGCAGTGGTTACTCAAACATAGGTTCTCTACCTATGCAAGGCTTTTTTCAAATTTCTCAGGTATTTTTTTTATTTCTATTTTGAGTTTTCTCTGAAAAATTACTTTGTAAAAATAGTATCATGGGGTTGAATATTTAGTGTCCTTCTGATTTCTAGGCCAAACATTCAGTGTAAGAAGAAAAAGCTTCCTTTTTTAAAACCATCAGCTTCACAAACTCGGTGTCAATTGACACTTGAAAGTAAAACTAGGCTCTTCCTTCCTTCCGCATCACCACCAGTAACAATGTTTCACAGCCTCAATTAAATGTTTGCACTACTTATTTAGGAAGAAAATGAGTTGAAACGCTGGATTAGACATGTGGCCTGTCTTATTCAGTGTCTTGTCTCTAATCATGTGTGGGATGCAGGAAGGTGCAATAAACTACTCTTAAGGCAGTTGTGGGGTAATGTAGGTCCCTCCTCTTCCCAGTTAAATTCCCTCCAAATTCCAAATTTATTTAAGCCCTGAAGTGAGACATCATCTGTTCCCAAAATTTGTTAGCATTTACTAGAACTCAGGACTTTATTCTTTTATGTATGGCTTATTCTTTTTTTATTTTATTTTTTTCAGCAGCAGGATGTAGCAGTGAATTCCAGTGTAAATTAGTTTTGTATTGCTTTTGAATTCACCACTTCTCAATTTTATTGAAATCCCCCTTATTGTTCTTAAGCATGTTTCAGGGGGATCCCACCATGCACATGACTAGATTTGAGTAGCAGTGTCTTTTGGGGCTGCATGTACACACTATCCTCACCATGCTCCCATGTGAGGGAATTAAGAGTGAAATGGCCAGTCCATTTTTACCACCCATGGCAGCAAAATGAAGTGTGGTGAATGGCTGACCCTCTAACTCATACGTTTGGATCAAACTCTTTCAAATCTTCTGAATTTCTTTAGAACTCATTTGATTACCTTCCTCTTCAACTGCTAAGATCATATTGACCTGTATCTATAGGGTATGGGTGACTAACCCCCCTTCTGAAGAGCTCCTTAATATGACAGACTTGAAACCTGCAGGCTTCAAGCCCCATTCATTCTGTACTGGACAAGTCCCCTTAAAGGATGTAGTTAAATGTTTCTTCTGCCATAGAGAAGCACACCTACCAAGCAGGTGCACCTGACTTTTTCTGTTAGGATATGCATGTCATAAGACACATGGCTCAGCCTCCACATTCTGGAACAACCCATAAAGGTCTGTCTTATGGCCTGAGGAGATGAGCTCTAAAACCCTGCTAGAAGAC